TTCTGTGTTATTGTTAAGCCCCACGAAAGCACAAAAACATTATAAAGCACCATAAAGTCCAAGTGTTCTGAAGCCGTTCCACAGTTTAATGTGAGGTACAGATGAATATTTAAGTCGTTAAATTCAAGTTCACGTAAACTCTTCTCTCCGCCGCGGCTGTCTGTCATCCTCCATTCAGCGTTCACACTGTGCGTCGCATTCGGTTACGACAGTCAAGACTATAAAACTCTCTCCAAGAGCGCACAGTAACTGAAATGTAAAACTGTTCAAAGAAAAGTCTCAATAACTATCGCACATATTTAATAAACTATGCATCAATGTCTCTTTACTTTGCGCTTTGAACTTCTCTATGCTGCGCACTGACTCTGTGTTGCTTCAAGCACATATAATAGGACAGAACAAGAAAGGCTATTAATAATCTAATTTATAGTTATTAATAGCCTTTCTATTAACAGCCTTATAATTGATAGATTATGATTATATGTCATAGATTATGATTATGTGTTTTTTCATTAAAGTTATTTTTCATTAAAATGAAGTTGTCTATATTTAGTAGACTGTGTTTAACACACAAAAGAGTGACGATCAGGTCAACACACAGAAGTATAGAAGTTCTACATTGATTAAAAAAAACTGCGCTGGTATCGGATCGGATCAAATCGGAATTGGCCAATACTCCGAATTTTCTGGATCGGATTGGCTCTGAAAAAATGGTAACCAAAGTCACACCTCTTTCAGTTGACCCAAATGTGAATTGAGTGAAACAATGTCCGTTCTCTCTCAAATTAGATCTCTTTTAGTTGTGCTAAAGCCATCTTCAGTCTAGAAACCAGTGTGCAATAAATCCCTGATAGTCTGTGTTGACGTCTGTCTGCGTTCTGTCTGAATGGTGTTGAGCAAAGGGCACAAAAAAAAAACTGCGCTGGTATCGGATCGGATCAAATCGGAATTGGCCAATACTCCGAATTTTCTGGATCGGATTGGATCTGAAAAAATGGTAACCAAAGTCACACCTCTTTCAGTTGACCCAAATGTGAATTGAGTGAAACAATGTCCGTTCTCTCTCAAATTAGATCTCTTTTAGTTGTGCTAAAGCCATCTTCAGTCTAGAAACCAGTGTGCAATAAATCCCTGATAGTCTGTGTTGACGTCTGTCTGCGTTCTGTCTGAATGGTGTTGAGCAAAGGGCACTGACTCAATTCCATCTTGAGTTCACGCTTTTTTCTCCAGACATCATTATAGACATTGCACTGACTTGTACTATGATGATTGAGGCAATGTTTGACTTCTCATTTATTTAACAGGGAATCAGGGGAAACGTGATCAATTTGCTATTTTAGGGAAATGGCTTGACATTTGTACCAAATAAAAAGTCAGAGGCAGAGATGCCTGGAACATTGTCATAATGGTTTTTCTTGCACTGATAATCAGGAAACAGTCTCAACACGTGCACGCACGGGACCTGTTTTCCAATGTATGTGTGTCTACAAAAAAATAAGCAGGCATAACCTTTTCCATTCTGAACGCTCACAGCCCACAAGTTCAACAAAAAGCGAAATGTTCCTGAGACAGAAGATCACTGCTGCTCTTGTTACTTTTCATTATGACAGAGATTACATTCCCATGACATCGGGAGGAACTGAATCTAGTTTTCATTTTCTGAAATCACAAATGAGATCATCTTAATATCTCAAATGTTTCTCCTACACAGCAATATGATTAAACAGGGAGCAAATGCTGAAGTCTATGGCTTCTTAGATGTTTCTCCTGACAAAAAGCCCCCAGTAATCCCACAAGTCTCTGCTAGAGTTTCAGAATGTCTCCGTCTGAACAACATTTCAATCTGTGCTCAGATTAATCAACCAATAAGAATGAAAAATTACAAATACAATAATGTAGCTTTAATATCAGAACCATGTCTCCTTAGGTTGACTACCTAGTTGTTGCTCTGTTGAGTGGTATCTAATTATTAGACTATGTAAATATTGACTAATGTTAAATGGAAAGCCTATTTGCAGTGACATTGCATGATAATATGCTTTATATCGCCAATAAGCTTTTATTTTTTTAAGCTGAGTACATGCATTTTTACGGAATTCAATGCATCTTGAACTTGTAGCCTGTTTTTCTTTTCCAGTGGCACACTGGTAATCCCAGTATGCAATTTATTATTAACTAAATAAAATGCAGGATGGGTGGTCACCCCTTGACTTCTAGAAAGCAATAAGATTAACTGGAAATAAAATGGAGATTTTTGCTGAAATTTCATGAAAAACACTCCAGTGTATCTTACATTATATCACTTTTATACTTTTATACCACTGGCTGTTACTTTGCATGTCTGAAATCAGAGCTACTGCCTTTGAAATGAATGGGAATGCTGAAGGATAGCATTCTTCTCCAGATATTCGGGACGAAACTGGAAAATTTCAAACAAGCGTGGGACGGCTCTGAGCAATAGTTTGTAACACTGTTAAGGCCTGAGGGGCGTCTGCTCAACTCTTTCAGGAACACGGCTGTGATAGAGACACACCTAATCATGAGCTCAACACACACACAAGACACGAGGCTGGGAGCTTCAGCAAGGCTTTAAGTGGAAAGAATCGGTGTGTTTGGCTTGTGCTCAGACACATACAGGTGACGATGTTCGTTCAGGAAGTTACGCCTCCTCTATGTCGGCCTTTTCAAAATGCATACCCACAACCAAGATAAACTAAGCTGCCAAACATAATAATATTGATAAATGTGAAATATGCACACACCACCCGAGCTCCAGACAATATGGCTTAGCAGGAAACTAACCGACAGACAGAGACAGAGAAAGAGAAAATATGAATTTAAACAGAGCACTCGGGCAGACTGGCACCAATCTAAATGTAATTGTGTAAATTCACCGGTTCCACTCAGTTCTCCCTGTCCGAGGTGAGATAAGCGTGTGATTGGCTAGAGGGAGATGAAAAAGCCAGTGAGCGCTCCATCTAAAGCAGGCCTGGAAAATGTCTTTTGCCAAAATAAAAAATATATATATGAAAGTTCAAATGCGATTGATGGGGGAGAGGAGCTCCTGTTTGAATTTCAATCAGAGAGCGAGTGAGTGGGCCGCGCTACTGTGCCGCCACTGGGGATACGGAGCATCTCTCCGTAATGAAACCATGCATACACTCCTCTCTTTCCTCTCTCTATTCCACTTTCAGGAAGACACTCGTCGCTCCGTGACTCCTCATACGAGCCGTATATCTGTCCTCACCGAGTCTTGCCACGTTTAATACGGGAGCCATAGAACCCGTGGAGAAAATCGCATCACAGCGCTCAAATGAAGGCACGAGGCCCTTATATGCGGTGTGACTGAGTGTTTGCTCTTGTGTGCTTCCAATTTTATAAGGGCGGTGGAATACAGCGCATGGTTTGAGCCATGATTAACATATAAACACCACACACACTTACACAGTGAGTGGCATCAATGATAGCTGCTCTGCACGCTCACTTGTTTACTTTATTTTCCAATTATGTTTCTGAAGAAGCTCCAGGCAATTATTTATGTGCAAATACAACACACTAAGAGGACAAAAACAAAACACTTTCAATGGAGGTGTGCTGCAGCTGGAACAGGAAGACCCTTGTTTCGATGGCGCTTGTGGATCGTTATAAGACTGCAGCTTAACCCGAACCTCCATCTGCTCCGGGGGAGCCCAAAGTCTGCATTTTGGCCCTTTTTGTGTGTATTTGCAGGTGTATGATCAGAGTAGGAGTGTATATATGAAATAACACCTGTGGAAACTAGGCAAAATGTACCTCCTGTATTTACACGTCAAGCGATTGTTCACTTAAAAATTCATATTTTAGGTTCCTTGCCACTGTAACCTTTGGCTTTCTCAGTTGGGCTTTAAAAGACACTGATATTCAGTAATATTATCGATTGGACTGTACTGACTCAATCAGATGAAAATAATCTGAACTGAATTGAGCTGATAGTCACACTAACATTAGCACTGTTATTGAACTGAACTGAATCAACATTGAACTCAACTGAATTGAATAATGACACTATTGTCTTCTGTAGAGCTGCTTACAAACTGAAATTAATTTTTGTTTCATAACTGATGAATTTTACATCAACACTGTTATTTTTATGTTTATTAAACACAGAGTTCTGGCATGACACTCTAGATGGCGCACTCTGATAGGTCTAGCTCAATCTGACCTGGCGACATCATTGTCACATGGCAGCTGATTGGTTCTCTCCTGTATCTGTAGCCAATGAGTTTATTGCTTAATATTCAAATACCTGGCTTTTGTTTGCTGTAGCAGTTTTGCAGCACACTTCAGAAACTCTCTCCCTTCCCCAGCTCCACCTGTATAGCTCTGCTACGAGGTGATTCATGTATGCTATATGGGGTTATTTCATGTCTGCTATAAGTGCAGCAGCAGTATTTTTTACATGCTCATAGCAGCATGTTGTGGATGTATCGGCAGTAGCAAGTCTCTGTACTTGCTCTGCAGCAGCAGCGGAGCAGATCTATTCCGCCAAGAGCAAATACATTAAAATTATCATGTACATTACCATGCCAATCCCTCCGAGAGTTGTCATGACAGAACTGCTTTGAATCTGTATTGTATAAAGCGCTATATAAACAAATGTGATTAGACTCTGGCTTTCATTGTGTGGACAATAAGAGTTAAAACATTCTTTATTCAGTTCCACAGAGGAAGCAGGGTCATACAGGTTTGAAAGAAATTAAAATGTTCCTTTTTAGGTGAATGATCCCTTTAAGGGCTGTTTGCACTGACAGAAATTTGCAGGCAAAGCAATTGGAAGTCTTTCCTTTTCAGGGAGCACTGGCAATTAATCAGCTATCAAGCACTAAGCAATTACTATTTTTACTTATGACAAAATGGATCTTTTATGATACCTGAAATTTGATAGAACAAAACAATGCAAAGTGTGCATCCCACTTTAATCCCTTCCACATACAGAAATGAATATATACCAGCGGACTGACCTGCACACTTGGTTCTGGTTATGAGAGGTGGCCCGGGCTGTCCGGTTCCCCCCTCTCCCGGACGGGTCAGCAGCACTCGGATCTCATACTCCGTGTCGGGATCCAGGTGCCACAGCTTGTAATTGGGCGAGTTGACGGCGTGGGTCTCTGTCCAGCTTCCAGATGTCATCCTGTACTCCACCTCCTTCAGGATGATGGGGCCGTCCCCGAATATGGAGTTAGCGTTTAGCTGGATTAGCAGGTATGTGGGCCCGACACCCAGCAGCTGAGGTGGAGCAATGGGTCTCGGGGGCTCTGGAAGAATAAAGACACATCTTACCAAACTGTTTCATAAAGACCAAGCTTAATATGATCAGTTTATTGACATTTTCTCAATTACATTTTCTCAAAGTAGAATCAAAAATTAAATACTTGAGTCGATCTAATTAATTCAATTACATTAATAGTTGCATGCAAGAGCCATATTTTACACATTGTATTGAAGGTAACGCATTACAAGTAGCGTCTCGGGTTACTTGACTGTAACCCTGTTCCCTGAAAAAGCGGCGCACAAGCATTGAAGAGGTCTCAGACATGACTCTGGGATGTTGACTCAAGGACCCGTGAGCCCAGAGTAGCATGGACATCCAAACTATAGAATCTGACAAATGTGTGCGGAGAGGACCAGCCTGCCGCATCACACACTTGCTGCAAGGGAACACCTCTTGCTAAAGCCGTAGAAGATGCAACCCCCCTGGATGAATGGGCCCTAACTCCTAGAGGCGAAGCTTGACCATGCTAGGGCAATAGCATCCCTCACCCAATGTGACATAGTTTGCTTAGTGGCAGCTGCCCCCTGGTTGCGGCCCCCATAGCATATGAAAAGCTGCTCCGATTTATGCCACTGGCTGGTGCGGTGGACGTAAATTTGAAGAGCACGTACTGGACATAGTAAGTGAAGTCTTTCCTGCTCCGGTGTCGTGAACAGCGGAGAGCAGAAGGCTTTAAGAACAACCGGATGTATGGTCGAGAATGGAACTTTCGAAAGATAATTAGGGTGAGGATGCAAAATAGCTTTGACCAGCCCAGGGGCAAAGTCTAGGCAGGATGGCGAGACTGACAGAGCCTGCAAATTCTCCCAATTCTCTTCAGAGAAGTAATAGCCATTAGAAAAACCATCTTTAGGGCCAGAAACCTGACAGGTGCTGACTCTAGTGGTTCGAAAGGGGTGTCGACCAGACCCTCGAGCACTATAGCTAAGTTCCACGAAGGGACTGTCGCTCTAGTGGGCAGCCTCAACCGCTTGGCTCCATGAACGAAGCGGGCGACTAAAGGGTGCTTTCCCACAGAAACCCCATCAATCAGAGCATGGCAAGCCAAAATGGCAGCCACATAGATTCTGAGAGTACCAGGACATGTGCCTGAGGACAGTTTCTCTTGCAGAAACTCCAGCACTGGAACAATTTGGCAGTGAACTGGGTCTGCATGGTGCGTCATACACCATCGTTCGAAAAAACGCCATCTGAGGGCATAACTTCTTCTAGTGGAGGGAGCCCTAGCACTTAGAATAGTCTCTATTACATCGGCTGGAAGCCCAGCATCTCTTAGTCGGTCCTCCTCAGAGGCCAGGCGTGAAGGTTTCAGAGCTCGGGCCGGGGATGCAATAACGTCCCCTCTGCCTGAGACAGAAGATCTCTCCTGACTGGAATTGCCCACGGCGAGCCATCGAGGAGGGATATTAAATCTGAGAACCACACTCTGGTCGGCCAACGAGGCGCAATCAGTAAGAGGCGAGACCCTTGTTGATGGACCTTGGCTAGGACTCCCGGGAGCAGAGCGATCGGAGGAAATGTGTAAAGACACAGTCTGGGCCATGTATGGGCCATCGTGTCCAGACGCAGGGGAGCTGGAGGAGTCAGAGAGAAGTAGAGGGGACATTGTGCTGTCTCCTGTGAAGCAAAGAGGTCCACATCTGGTCCACCTCTAGAACCCGATACTGGTAAGCTTCGCCCCCGAAAGCGAACCTTAGGAACTTCCTGTGTTGTGGCAAGATCTCTATGTGAAAGTATGCGTCCTTGAGATCGATAGTCACGAACCAATCGCCTGATTGGATCTGAGACACAATCATCCTGATTGTCAACATTTTGAACTTATGTTCTGAGGTAGCGGTTAAACCCACGAAGATCTAAAATTGGACGCAACTTCCCTTCTTTCTTGGGAACCATAAAATACCGGCTGTAATAGCCTGACTCTCTGTCTGGCAGGGGAACACGTTCTATGGCCCCTTTGTCCAGCAGAGCTTGCAATTCCTGTGTCAACAAATGTGCTTGTTCCGGCTTCACAGAAGTGGAGACCACGCCATTGAAACGCGGAGGACTGTAGCCCTTCCCTACAATACTTTCTACCTATGGAGAGATATTTGGCAGTAGCTTCCAAGCTGCCAATTTCTCTGAAAGGGGAACTCATTTTGACACTTCGTTTTGTTGGGAGAATGTTAGATGTCCGGTAAAGATGTCACATTTCGCTGGAGGCCGCTGCTCCCCGAAACACTAGTGGCGGTGGAGATTTTACAGCGATCCCCTGAGGGTGCCAGGAAGGAGCCTCTAGTCTCTGTTGGAACTTCAACCCCTCCCCTCCCCCACGGTCCTGGGCGCACCAGCCTCAGGACTTTTTCTTTGAGGAGATGATGCTCCTCAGGTCCGGCCTATTAGAGGTGGTCTGAGAAGTGCGGTGGGCCACTCCCCTGTCTCTTTGAGGGGGCGCACGACTCGCCACACTTTCCTTCTGAGCCTCTCGTCTCAGAGAAACCAGACCTGGTCGGGACTGGGTGGCCGACAGTCAAATAAGCCGGAAGGCGAGACGGGGGCATCAAGGAGGAACACTTGGTCCCTCTCCTTGATGTCCGTGAGGTTGAGCCACAGGTGTCTCTCCATAAAAGAGTTACCTCGTCATGGAGGTCAGCAAAGAAGGGGAGAGACCGTCTCGGAGGCCCCTCCCCCGGCCACTTGACAGAAATCTGTCATCCAGCTTCGAGTGCTTGGGGGCATCCTGCTCCTGCGGCCAGTCTAGCTTTAACTTTTCGACTGCTTGAGTTACCACTTCGAGTAACTCCTCATACACTTTATCATTGCGAGATGAGCGCTCTGAGGTGGCGCTCTCGATCCTCCGCCCGTTCTGAAGAAGTGCCAGGGCGCGACAGAAATCTGTCATCCAGCTTCGAGTGCTTGGGGGCATCCTGCTCCTGCGGCCAGTCTAGCTTTAACTTTTCGACTGCTTGAGTTACCACTTCGAGTAACTCCTCATACACTTTATCATTGCGAGAGGAGCGCTCTGAGGTGGCGCTCTCGATCGCCGCAGAAGCAAGAGACGAAGTATCCTCCGCCCGTTCTGAAGAAGTGCCAGGGCGCACTTCAGAGGCGGGCGCGAGGACCTTGTGATCCAGCGAGAACGCGAGAGAAAGGTCACACCCGTCACACGCACCTTAGCCAGATCGACACGCGACCCCCATGATCTTAACGAGGGAGTGGCGGCTCGCTCGTCTCTAAAGAAAGCAAGCTGTGCGCAAAGCACTTTGATTGGCAAAAGATCGCAGTGCTTGCATTCTTCCTCGAGCCGAGGGCAGCGTGCTCATACACCAAACACTCAAAGAAAAAATTATGCGGATCATCGTCCAAGATGAGCCTCTGACAAGGAGGCACGCATCTCTTCTCAGACTCCGACATAATGAGTGAGTAATGCTTTCTTTCTCTTTCTTTCTGCTTGCATTCTTCCTCGAGCCGAGGGCAGCGTGCTCATACACCAAAAACACTCGAAGAAAAAATTATGCGAATCATCGTCCAGGATGAGCCTCTGACAAGGAGGCACGCATCTCTTCTCAGACTCCGACATAATGAGTGAGTAATGCTTTCTTTGTTTTCTTTTTAAACTGCAATGCAGCAGGGAAAAACACTTGTTTCTCACAAACACACACACACACACAATACGGTCCTTGAAGACAAAGAAACCTGAGGATGTGTCCGTTTCATGTGTATTTATAACCTCTCTGGTGCGTGTAATTAATGATGTCACCTACCGAGGTTATTTAAGCCAATTCTTGGCATGTTTGACACACATTCTTCACAACCGGTCGAACAAAGAATGTTCTCATAAGCGTTATTGAACGCAGCATCGAGAGTAGCTTTTGATAGGGAACTTGAGTTACGTAGTCAGATTACTTTTTTCATGTAACTAGTAAACTAAAAGATTACTTTTAAAATTAACAACAAAATATCTGTTACTTTTTCAAATAAGTAAAGCAAGTTACTTTGCTTTCCCATATATTCACAGCTCTCCTGTTCCATGTTGAGAGAAAACAGGAGTGAGTTACAGAGGTAGAGCCACTAACTTCAGCCTAAAGGCCTGTTCACACCAAGGACGATACTATAAAGATAACGTTAAATATACAGTGCAAAAAAATCTTTCTCAATAATAAAGAATAGCAGAGTCCACACCACAGCTATAACGATAAAGGCACAGAGAAACGATACAGCTGGAATTATAGAATGATTTTTCTCCAGCTGATGAATGATAAAAACATTAGACACCCAATCAGAATCAATCCTGCTATAACGAACTCGAGAATTTAAAGCACAGATAAGCGTGCACTGAGAATAAACAGACAATATAGTTTGCTGGTGTGGACGCTAATATCGTTATCTTTATAGTTATCGTTCTTGGTGTGAACAAGACTTAAGGCTATTCATTTCAGTTTTGGTGTGGAAGTCCCTTTACAGTTGTCAAAAAATATAACTTCTGGGGTTTTTGTTATTAAAAACCCAATAAGCAAGCTCAGACCAGGTGACAAAAAGTAACGCAAAAGTAACACAATGCATTATTTTCCATCACAAGTAACACAATTAGTAACATTTCATGGAGTAACGCAATATTGTAATGCATTACTTTTAAAAGTAACTTTCCCCAACACACCTTACATTGAATTTGTATTGCCATTTTCCACAATCTCTCTGAGTATTACAAATAAATGTGTACCTTTAATACTTGTGTAAATGACTTTGATGTTATGATTGGCCAACTTCTTTGCATGTGACTTGAGTAACCGCATCTTGTTGTGCAATATTGCTGCTGCATATTAATTAGGTGTTATGTAAATATGGGCGGTCACATGTTAATGAGCTCACGGTTTCTGAAAGAGTTGTTTTTTTCCAGTTTATTTCATTTAAACGAGTTATGTTTTCCATTAAATGAGCCCTTCAGAATCTTAGCACAGTGTTTTCATTTTAACAAATTTGTAATTAACATTAACGTTCACAGTAAGC